CAAACCAACACAGCAAAAGACAAAAAAGCTTGAGCAAGAACTCAAGCTAGATGTGACCAGCAGGCTTTATCCATAACACAGGGCCAGGGTCAGAGGTCAGAGGGCGGAAGAAGCGTGGCCGGAAACTGGGAGGCGGGCTGAAGCAACAACTGGCGAGTGGAGCTTGGGGCGGAAGACTCAGGTGTCCAGTAGACATATCCAAACACTTACGCCACGTAACAAGAGAGACTTCTGCAGATATTGTTTTTTCGCATGTAAGTGCTGGTGAAATATTTGTTTGTATTTGTATTTGATGGATTTTAAATAATTGTGAAATAATTTTACACCAAAAACCTTCATAAAGTGTCAAAAATATATTCCATAAATTGCGATACGGTATGAAATGTTGATGAAACCTGTAAAAGGGTGGACTTTATGCAACTTTAAAATATTCATTTTTCAGTCATTGCTCCTGTAATTCTGCTAAAATGATCAAGGTAATATACACACTATTTTATAAGAACAAGAACATTTTTTAATTTATGTAGGCTTATGTACTCATAATAATACAACATCCTTACATGACAAAAGCATATAGAAAACATGACCAACCTATATGGTAAAGCCCTTTATAATAAAAACATTTTTCTTTCTAGGTTATATTTGCTGTGTGGACCATCTTGATGACAAGTAAGTTTGTTTGATTGTACTGAATGTTTTTGAGAGTTTGATTGATTTGCCAAACCACATGTCTTTGAAGAAATCTTATATATTCGTTTTCTGTGTAATTTCTAACATATGCTGTTTCAAATCATTTTAGAGGAATGCAGGTGTGCGGTGCGCAGTGAGTACGGTTTCCATATACTTACCCAAGCTAATAATAATTCATGCCTGAAATGAGTGAACTATATAGGGTAAATGACTAAGTAACTGTACAATACTTTTACACGATGTAACAACCTCTCACGTAGTCGGCTGTGTAGAGACCCCAGAAAACACATACAGTTCTGGAAAAAATCAAGAGACCACAGCAAAATTTTAAGTTTCATTCATTTCTCAATTTATCT